CACCTGCCAACCGAGTCGCACGCAATTTCGCCCTTTCCACGCAATCCTCGCACGGTGAAAATTGTACGCAGCCGTTGCAGCGAGACGCCGTCGAACTTCACCTACTTTTCCTCAACATATCGAACTACTGTATCTACGAAAGACAATAGACTTCTCGACAAACGTGAATCTTTCGTTAGCAAACTTTCGATGAGAATTCAATATCCGTCTTTTCTTTTTAATTAATCGATCTTTTCACTTCACATTCTTTTTCCAAGTTCTTTTCTACTTATTCTCCCAAAACTTGATATTCAGTCTAAATGCGTATTTTAATTCGAAATGAAAAAAGGACGATATTCGATGGAAAGACGACGTCGGTTTGCATGCGCTGCCGCCCTTGTGCCGGTGGGCCTGCAGGGTTGTATGGAAGCCAGCTGCGAGTCGGCGAAGCGCGACGGACTGAGGCCGCGTGTACTCGGAAACGTTGTAAAAATAATTATTAAAGCCGTTACCACGCCGTACTACTTGTTCGTTCGTCTGACACGTGTATCGACGACGCCACGGACGGTCCAAGTTCGTCGTATTCCTCCGGAAGTCGCAACCGCGTCGATCGCCGTCGATCGATATGACAAAATTGTCGATTAGTCAAATTGTTTTAAGAAGAATAAATCGAATAAATACGATGACGAGTATAAATAAAAACGCGATCGCTTCATCGCTTCTTGCGACGAGCAATTTCTCGCAATCGAATGTAATTGTTATCGTAAATCTTCCACGTGACATCAGACGTCCTACTTGAAATCAATGAAAGAAAATCAAGTTGTAGTCATTCTTTGCCGTGAACATTATTCGATTAGTCAATTCAGAGAATACTTTTGCGTATCTCTCGACGATGTTTTCTATAACGAGCGTCATTATTCGCGGAAACCTCAACGCGCCGCGTCGTTTTCGCAATGTTCGCACTGCATGTTCGCAAAACAACCTGTCCTTCTTACCGCCGCGACGTATCTACCATTTTTAACCGCCACACTTCTAATGGGTGCAACGGCTTTTTCGTCCGCCGTCGCCGGCCATCTGCCGCACAGTGAAAATGGTTTGATGAAATTAAAGTCAGCTGATCGAAAAACCATCGGCGATCTTCCAGCTGCGTTGAGGCGCCAAAAACTGATACAATTGGAAATTGTCCGTAATCGTCAACTTTTAACGTGTCGGATAGAGCACAATGGGTAGAGTGCAGACGCTTTCCTCGCGGCTGAAAGTTATCGGATGTGAAAGAGCTTCCCCGTGTGTGACAAGCGTGAATTTTTTGCGGACGTCGAGATTCCCGCCGTGGCCCCCTTGTTGCGTTTGACAATTTTATCGGGCTCGCTTCGCGCGTGTATGTGACACGCATGCAATGGACACGCGGCACAAAGAAAGAAAAATGTTACTCCACGACTGCCGAAGTGACGGCGAATTTCTATTGACCGACCGAAGGATGCGCGGTGCGCGGAAATCCGGGATTTTTGTCCATTCGCTTCTCCATCGCTTCCAAAAAAAAAAAGAACGCAATTCCAAAACACAATTTTCCAATAGCATCACGTTTGTTGGATGAAACAAAATATCGAAAATTTTAAAAACATGTAACACTTTTTGTTGGAGTTATTAATATTTTAAAACTGATACCCCGAAATGTATTAATATTTAGCCTCTGATATTTATGAGCGAACGCCGTAGCTTTGACGCAACGGATCACGTGCCATCGTTATTTTAAGTCGCGCCGCGAGCGCAAGGAAATTAATCCTCACAAGACTTGCAATAATTGTCGATCGCTGCGTTAATCAAGTTACCGCGAGTGCGTGACATTTGGATCGAAGGTAAATACATCCTCGTCGCGTGAAAAGAAGTCATACCTATAGGCTACCGCCTAGCTCAGCAATTAGAAGCACGCGTTCGGCCGGGCAGCTGCCGGCGGTTGCGGCGATTCGGCGATAAGGTAATTAAAATATTTCGTAAACACATTTCCTTGTGCCGGCAGATGCACAGTTTCTGATAAGAACATTGCGAGCGACGAAAAGTGATGCTACTGTCGCCTGCTGACGAGCAGCGCTCGCCGTGTACCGAATTATTTCGGAGGATATCTCTCGGAACTGCCCGCCTTCCGATTATTGTTATGTTAATTTGCCGCAAATTAGGATTCCTCCCCGATGATTTTGAGGATGCGCGTAGCAGATGTGCCGCGCCGGAATGGACCTACGCGTTTAATGTTTTCTCCGCGGGGCAAATGTTCGGTGTCGCTGAAGCTTAAACAAATATAAGCACCGGCTGCCACCAAGCTGCCTTCTCGCTGTCGCTGCAACGTAACTTTGTAGGTCCCTTAAAGGACTGTTTACACTGCGAGCCGCGTTAACGGAAGCATTCGAAATACACGACGATGCGTTAAAACGAGCGAGAGACCAGGGCCGATTTGTTCCTCGTATTTTATTTACGAGCGCGCAGCCGCACGTTTCATCGAAAGACGCGGAAGACGCGTACGCGCGGCGAGAACAAGCGAAGGATGCTGAAATCGATCGAACGAGGAAGAGAAAGAGGGAAGAAATTCCTTGGCTTCGACGATTAATTACGCCCTCATTCCCGCCCTCTCAACGATGCATCGTCGATATTGACATTTGCCTTGCCTCCCTTTCACCCTGTGTCCGTCGGTCTCTTTCTCCACTTTCCTCCACGAGGGAGAAAGCAAGCGGGTGAGAAAAGAACCGAGAGGGAACGGATACATACATAGATTCTTTGCGGCGCGCGAAGGGTGGGGGGAGGGGGTGCGGAATCGGGAGAGCCTCTTGCTCGCCCCTACCTCTCAAGCGTGTGCTTATCGAGTGCACTGGCGCGGCCAGCGCACATTTTTCCTCGTTTACCTCACGAAGAGGCAGGTAGGTTGGTAGGTAAGGCAGTCAGGTTGCTAGGAATGCGCGTACAAGGGAATTAGACCATAATCGCCCACGCGTGTGTCGTGAAAGGGGACGGTTTTCCGCCTGCCTTTGGACCTCGTTGCCCTCGCCCTCGCCCTCGCACACCAATCTTGACCTCACCACACGGCGGATTGCACTGGCTCTTTGAGTGCGGAAAAGTCGTCAGATATTAATAAACTGCCTTATTTTCTCTGTGCATTCCGCAAAACGGCAGTCCGCAATTATGCAACAATTAGAGTTAATAGTGAAAAGAAAAACTAATTTTTTACGAGAAGGAAAGAGTCGACGTTAACAACAGCTGATTCGATAAGAACCAATCAATTACTTACAGTTTACGTCATATTTAGAAATACTTTATAATGCATATTTGAAAATATTTATGATGCGAAATATTGTCGAATTTATTTTACTTAATCGACTTCGTCAATATAACCGTGGGAATGTTTATTTCGACAGAGAAACTTTCTGCCTTTTTATTGCAAATTGGAAACGTACTGGTACTGAAATTTACACGAGAGAGTTATCGAGTGTTTGATGTCTGAATGTTGAAAAACTTTTTATAGCTTATCGATTATCACCAAATATTTTTCACAATCCAATTAAATCTATCTTTGCATACAGTTATAATTTTAAACGATTAGATAACTTTATAAATTCTAATTTCATAATCATCTATTCTTTGTGGAAATTTTTCAAAATAAAAATGCGTGATTTTTGCTGTTTGAAAAATCATTAGTTATTCAACTAATTTGTTATGTAATTGATTATTTATGCTTGATTTTATTCAGATTTTTTTCTAGATTTTTCACTTACATTTTAGTTAGAAATTTGTTTAAATTTTTTAGCTAGATTTCCTTACATGCGTCGGTAAAGACGAGTCTTTCTACAAACCTCTTGCTCCGCTTGCTCGCAGTTACCGTACAATTTCTCCGCCAGTCTATCGTGCGTCGGCAGTTACGTTATATTGGAAGATAATGTAGTTTTCTGTATTTATTTAATGCAAAGTATTTCTATTTAGGAGAATACATTCATTACATAGTTAAATTATTTGTATTGTAGTACAGAATTGTTATAATACGTCCTTTTCAAAACTAGATTAGAGAATCAAGATATAGAAAAGAATCATAGATAAAACAGTCATGTTATCGCGCAATGTTAATTTTATCGTAGATATTTTACAGAACACGCAATATTGTTGAATAGAAAGTCCATTCAAATCTCATGAATAATAATACATGTTATATTTTATCAGGATTACGATATTTGCCTATCGAATATGAGATTAGTCTTTTAATAAAGTTTGTGAAATAGATTTTAAGGGTGACAACTGTCACCCTTACATTTTTCCAAACAGTTGAAATGCGAGTGTCTTTTTTTTTAAGAACGTTGATAAGCAATACAAGTATTTATCTTTTTTTCAAGGACCGAAGAACGAACAAGTAGACGGACAGATCTGTATCAATTTATGTATGGAAATCGTTCGTACCTTGAATATTTCTGTGATTAATATTGCATTATAATTATACTCAATTAAACTCTGAGGTGCGTAAATCATTTACATATGTTACTTGTGACTTGTTATCTTCCACACGGCAATAACGATGATAAAACATTAATTTGCGTATATCATCATGTTTTTACATTGCTTCACAAGTTGCACTATCGATGTAGCGTGGAAAACTTGAAGATTAATGCTACGAGCTGAATTTTTCGCAGAATCATAACGTATGAGGCGCGTAATAAATAATTCACACGTAATGAAGAATCGCATTAATAAATACTGCGAGGCAAATAGTTGGTTATTCACTAACGGCGATGTATGCGATTCTAATCCGGGATTATATTTCTATCCAATAGAATAATTTAGAACGCTGCACCGTCCAGAATCTAATCTAACACGTTGGCCATGGAAGTTATACTTTTATTACCGGTTCTATTGAACTTAACGAGGTCAATTGAGACGATACGGTTGCCTTGATTTTACGATAGCCGAACACCATGTTGCGATAAATGGCGATCCCGTCAACCATAAATTGTAATCCGCCCGCGCGTTTAACAGTTCTCTTTGCGTTTCAGCACCTGTACCATATGCAGACCGGCGAAGGGTCGTTCCGGGAGCGTGGGAGGGGACGGGGCAAAGGTGCTACGAGGGTGAGTAATGCCCCGGCTGACTATCTTCTATTATAATTCAATTCCTAACTGATAACGCGCACGCGTGAATAATACGCGGCGTAATTAATAACTATATAGTTAACTTTTCGAAAGTCTCGAGTTGATCGTAGGTGCTGTTGTTTCATTCTTAGCTCACTCTTCAACGTGTCCAGCGTTGTCTTGATAAAAATTTCAAATTGCAAATTGACAATTATTGAGAAGCGGATAAAATTCGTGAAAGTTTTGTTCGTCGAAATAAAACGTGAAAAATCGATATCCAGCGATTTTTTGAGATTTTTAATTACTAGAAGCGCGCCGCGCCGTATTCTATTTCGCTGACGTAGGCCAGTCTATCTCTTGGTACCGGCTGTACGGAGTTTCAGAACTGATATTAAGCAAGGTGGTATTGATCGACGTGCGTTGCGCCTGTCCGCGCTGCACCGCCATGTTTAAAATCCGCCTGCCTTTAAGCCGCGTACGAACTTGAGCACGCATACGGCGAAAACGATGCGAGACGCTCATACACAAAGGAACTTCATTCTTACTTCTCGACATTCGATTCTAATTCAATTTTTATGAAATAAAAAGAACGGAAATAGACGAATCAAACTTTAATTTGATAATCTTTTATGGATTGCGAAGCTTAGTTTAAAATAGGAGTAATGCGAATAATCAGTCTAAATTGAGCCACTCCAAGTTTCGATATTCCAGCGGATCATGAATTATTCGTTCAGAATTTGATTTGCACTCATTTTCTTCTTGAGAGAGGAAAATATTATTGCCTCGGAGGATCGATAATTTCTCATTAGTTTATTGCTTCTTTTTCTCGAATTGTTTTTATTCACCGAGCACTCGTAACGCGAGAAAATCGGCCTGGCGACCCACGGGGCCTTTTCTTATCTAATCTGTGAATACGTGGATAAGATACCAACATTCCTGTATTTGACTGCCCTCGTAAAATAAGATAGGGACACTTGTAAATTCGTTGACCCTAAAAAACATGTCTCTTTTGTTCGTTTTGCTTATTCTATATATTTATCTATTTTTCCTAATGAAATAATTTATAAAAGTAGCGCGATATAGCAAACAGTGTATAACATTGCAGTATTATAATAAAATAAGAAAAAGGTGAAAAAAAAATTCAATTTTATACAGTAATCCAGTGAAGTGAAAAAAGTGATTGCCAATGAAAAAAAAAAATGGAAAAAAAAAACTCGGCGTGTAAAGATCAACGAGCTAAGGAAGGCTTAAGGGCGTCCGTAAGACGGTTCTTCGAGGGCTCGTTTATTAACGTCTCTGCAACTTGTTGCTGAGCGCGTTGCCATCGGCCCTTCTGACCTCTTTCAGACCGTCTCCATTCGCATCGGCTACTTCAACGAGACCCTCAAAGGGACAGCTCAACGAATCGCTTCGGTCAAATAGATATTGTTCTTCGGAGAATTCGCGCGCATAACTCCGGACGATTAACCGGATTGAAACGTCCAAGTTCTTCTATTTCAGATTGCTCGTAGATAAATTAATTCTCTCGTCAAGTAAGATGTAAAGTGAACAATTTAGCGATTTAATTTCGTCTCGTAGCTGAGAAGTTTCAGATATTACGCGTACAAAATGATCAACGATTCAGACAACCGTTTTGTGCAAACTCCAGAAAACGCATTGTTAAACTGAGTATTCGATAACTCAGTAACTCGCGCTCGATGCCCTCGCTGGAGCGAGCGCTTTTCGCTTCTTCCGATACATAAACATTTCTCTGACGGCAGGTATTCTCTTACCCCACCAGCAACCCCGTTCTACCCCCTCCGTTGCCATCAGCCACCTCCAATTACAATGACGCGTTGGTGAACCATCCCCTCTTCCACCGTCGCCGTCGTCGTCGTCGTCATCGTCGTCGTCGTCGTCGTCGTCGTCGTCGTCGTCGTCGTCAACTGCAGCGGCGTCGGCGTCGGCGGTGACGACGGCGATGGTGGTGGCGACACCACATCGACGACGGTCCTATTGCGCTGCCATCGTCTACCTATTGAAAGCCATAGTAACTCGACGACGGAATTTTTGTTTTTTCTACCCTCTTTTCACGACTCCCCGTTGCGCCCGCCGATACTTGAAGCGTGTGTTTTTCTTGCACGATGCTCCGACATTTTTTTTCTTACAAGTACTCTCTTTCTGTTATGATATAACTCGTTCTCACGAATAGTGATGTTAAGAAAGCATTCACTCGCTCTTTCTCTTCTGCGATAATTTTGCACATAAAATAGAAATATGTTGCCGCGAGATATTTTTATCGGAATACATTGTTATCGTATGTATGAGTGTATCGGAGGAGGCGGCTTCGTAGTAACATTTTTCTTCATTCGTTGATGGCGCGCCGTTTCTCTGCAAAAGAGTCAGTTGAAAACGCCAGACGGAGAGTAATAAAACAAGTAAAACAGCTAGAGAAAAACAAAGATGCAGAAAGAGGAGGGAGTGGAAGGACACGATGATGCGGGGCGGAGGAGGGTCGTGTAAATCGACGCGAGCATACACGAGCATTTCCGAGCGACGCGAGCTGTTGTACATGGAAGAAACGACGACGAGCGCGCTTCACGGTGTCGGAGCAGACAGCCTATGCTTGTTTACACGTTTTGAAGACGTCGGAGAGAAAGAAGTCGAGGCGCGAAAAAATTCGGAGCCGCTCTTAATTACTAGATAGTCAGATCTGATCATCTCATTTGAATTTGTATATGCAAATTTTGTAGCGTAACATTAAAATTTACATACTGCTGCGAGGCGACAAGATAAGTGCATGTTGCCGGTCATAAAGATACCATTATCAATGTAATGTGTATTTTCAAAATATTTAATTAAACCCGACTTCCGGTTTAATGTTTAACAAAGCCTTCACTTCCTGTGTACGATCACGCTTGAGTTTCCGATGCGACGGGAACTGGTGCGTCGCGTCGTCTCGCGTCGTGTCGCGTCGCGCCGCGAAGAGACGCTCTACGCAGGAATTCGCGATATCGCACCGCGATAACGCGCGACGCGGTGGGCCTCAGTGAGGAGGGATAAGGGGTAGACGAGTCGTGGGAGAGAAACAACGAGCACGACCGCCGCCGCACACCTACACGCGCGATTGCGCGCTCGTGCTCACGCTCGCGTCGCGCTCACGAACGAGAGAGAGGAAGAGGGAACGCAGAAAGGTGGGAACACGGCCGTAGAGAGCGAAGAGGAGCGCGGGAGGAAGAGGCGAGAGTGGCAAGAAAGAGAGGGCGGGGGAGGACGGGAGAGAGAGATCGTGAGGGACGAGAAGAGGGGGCACCGGAGGAAAAGGGAGAGGCGTCTCATGGGAGTTATTCGGCGGATCGCTCCGCGGCCAGAGTGATCTCTCGCGAGTGTTGTCGAGCGATCGATTCGATCGGTTTGCGAGTCGCGAGCGCAGGTTCGTGTAGTCGGCGCGAGCGCTCTGCGGTGGTAGGTAGCTCGCACGAGGTCGTTTTCTGGCGTGGGTGTCAGTCAGATCGCAAAGAAATCATGGTGCGCGGAGAATAAATGTATAGGACCGATACACACGTATATATGCACACATACGTAACTCATAAAGAAGTTAGGTGTAGTAATCGGATTGAAAATTCGAGTGCTTCCGGATAGGATTCTGGAGTATTGAGTGACTTCGGAGCGAATCAACTTCGGAACTCGTCTACAAGGAGAACGTGACAACACGCTCGTATCGTCGTATTATCAAAGTGAGTCTTCTTCTCCTTTCTGTTGCGCAAAATGCAAATATTTGTAATTTCCTCTCCGTTGGCATGCAAGATGCCAATGACACGTGTTCGAATTACGCGTTCGCCAATAGCGTTCCCGCTCTTCTTAGCCGGCCGGCTCAAACCCGGCGAATTTTATTTTCGCAATATTTATTCATTTTCTCACATCTTAAGTTAACTGAGAAACTGCAAATTACCGGAATACGGAGGTAAAAATCTGATTACCGATCTGATCCGATTGTAATTTTCGTAATCTTGATTTATCAATCGTGTATATTTTTAAGAAGGATTTTTATTTAAATGTAAATTACGTTTGATTATACAGTCCTCTTCAGTGTGTGTTTGAAGAAATGCAAGTCAGATGATTCATGATAAACTCGGACTTGAGATACTCGTGTGTGCGAACATGATATCAACCATACTTCGATAGCTTATATCATTCTGTACTATATGTAATTTTTTAGCCTAAATTTAATAAATTGTACAGAGGGGAGGAACAGTAATAGAGATTAAAATAAGATTGCTTCTCTCAAAAAATTAAGACCATATGTACGTAACGTTTGCTTCAAATATTTCACTTTACCCGAAGCTATAAACTAAGATATTGAATTATTTTTATTAAAATTGATTAATTAATTTTTGCATAATATGGTTAGCCATCACATCGAATTTTATCATTATAATTGAACTATGCGGACTATGGTGTGTTCTCGGATTATATAAGGCAACGCTCGATTGGTACAGTTTCTCTATTATAGAACTTCTATTATCCGGGCACCGTTTAATCAAACGTTCGGTTATTCCAATAGTGTCATCTAATTATAAGAAGTAAAAAAAATGAACATTTTATATATATATATAATAATGATAGTAATAAGGCTCCAATAAATTATGAATTAATATTAGGAGAGAAAAAGAGAGGCGTAAAGAGCCGTTGCTAGTTGTTCATGCGATATAATATATTATAAAATTATAAGAACAAACGTTTCGACCTGCATTAGGTCTTCATTAGAAATAAAATAACATAATAAATGATTTTACAAGCAGTGTTTATAGAACATATAGACTCTGCTTATAACAATGCCAATTAACAATTGCAATATGAAAAAGTTTCTTTGAAATTACTTTGCATCAAGAACTTCTTGCGTATTTTCTTCATTTTTAAGGCGTATCGATACTTGTGAAATCGTTTATTATATTATTTTATTTGTAACGACACTGATGAAGGCCTAATATAAATCGAAACGTTTGTCCTTGTAATATTATAATGTATTATGTTCTTGTAATTTTCTCGTAATATTAATTTCATATATATTTAATAAAATAAGTAAAGTTTGACTCGGTAATATAACTGATCGTGTAAAATCTACTAGAAAAATTGTAACAAAATAACGTAAGGAAGCGGTTTATAAATCGTTAAAACATAACACACTGAACTTGTCGCAAATTATAAAAAATCTATATCAAAGATAAAAAAAACAAGTATGGAAAAATAATGTATTTTGGAAAATTATATTTCCAGCAATTTTCTTGACCACTTTTAGAAGTGGGATTAAAAAAAAGCACAGATAAAAAGCAGTCTCACTAAAAAAGCTAAAAAAAACATGTGAACTAGAAACTGGAAAAATAGAATGGAGAATAAAAAAATCTCCTATATAAATTATCGTTATACGCGCGTAGAAAATATGTGATGTGAGTACAAAAGAATTTTCTTCGCTTCAAAATGTGCGGTCGTTCGATTATTCGAAAGAATGGATTGCCCGAACATCTTGTCCCTCAGCTAGTTCGTATAACACAGGTTCTACCATATATTTATAAAGTGGGGCCCTTACGCTTCAAGGACCAACGCCAAGCGTGAAACTGACTTCGCAAACCGCGCTCTGCGCTGGTTACGCAAGCGGCATTCGTCTATCGTGATCGCGGAATTTAGGTCAAACGACGTGTCCTCCGCTACTATCGGTGGTCCGCGAAACGCCATGAATTCTGCTCGTTTATTAACTTTTTTTTTTTCAACTATTTTACTATTTTATCAGCGCGCACACCAACCGGACAATGATCAAGGCGATCCACAACGGAGAAAAATAAACGCGTTGACCTGCGAGTAACGCGATCGATCGAAGCTGTTGGTTCGAGAGAAACCAAGTATCCGCTTGAGCGGCGCGATATTAATAGAAAATTCATAAGGATTCAATTATAATTATCTAAAATTGCGCACTTGAAACTTTACCTTTATTCTCAATAGAATTCTCTTTCGCTGGTTTTTATTTTCTTCCCGATTAACGGCGTCTAATAATATAAAGCGCTTTTGCGCACATGTTAACATTTTGTTATTGACGTGTTCAGCGTGGAATCTTCAAAGTGAACTCGTATCGAAAATGTATGCTTCTACGAGCTATTATACAACGCCGATAGAAAGGTATTCATGCATCGAAACGAGCGTCACATTGTACTTACTTACACTTTCATTCGGTTTAAGTCAACAAAATGTGAATCACCGAGTGGAATGGCCGACGCTGACGGTTGAAATCGGTTACCAGCGAGTCGGTCAATGCCCACGCGCTAGCCACGTGGTTTGACAGGGCTTCATGCTCGATTATTTCCAGAGCTCTCGCCCTGAATACGCTCCGCGGTAATTGGCAATCCAAATCTCCGTCAACATTTGCGTTAATGCCGACGCGATTATTGATGAAACAGTAACGAAAATATCGTAATCGATGAGTCCCAGAATGTATGAGAATGTTTAGACGCGATAATTTCTAATCTATTTTTTATTATACGATTTTCTCCTCGCTTTTGAATCTTTTATAACATCGTTGCGAGAGAAAAATTCATGCTTGAAAACAGGCTCTTTTCTTTTTCCGAAAATCTTTACGAATGAATGATCTTAACGATCGAAATAATTGGCTATTCGCCCATCTACGTCTGTACGAAAAGATAAATTGCAACAAGATCGAAGATAAAAGTAGACGAAAGAGAGAGAGAAAGAGAGAACCAGCTGAATCCGAACTGCATCTCGAAAAGGTCAGTCGTCTTGTCTTACATTCTCTAATCGATGATTGACGTTCGAAAGAATCCATCATCTTTTTCCAAACGTATTCAATGAGGGTTCATCGATGAATCGAGATCGACCTGACATGCGTGCGCAAAGAATAAAAGCGGCATCTCTTGAAGAACGGGCTTTCTTCGTTCTTTTTAAAAGATGGATTTTGTTGGATAGAAGTTTCGGATGAAAGAATTTCTAACGATGATGATTATAATGCGTTTTTATGATTACGATTGATTGTTTCTGTTGAGAATAGAGACGCAAATTGATCTTGATCTATTTTTTTACAATAGTCTATAATATAGCTGAGAATCTCGGACCGTTTGGGACTCGAGAAACTCAGCGGGTGACAAATGTTCCTCGAAGAAAAGAAATCTCCTTGCGAGCTCAGCGTGGGGTCCAACGCGTCCTGTCTATTTATAAAATCAATACGTAAAACGCACGTTTGCACGCAATCGCTTTACGTGTATCAAAGTACACATAAAGCGATTCTCACGCTTGCTGGCATCGCGCCTCTGACTACGTCAGAAGTGATCAAATTCGTGCGGAGAGACATTTTGCAGGAAGGGGAAACAGCGGCCGGCTTATAGCTCGGTTGACGACGCTTGTTGAACTATGGAAACCGTTTCAGCCGCCTCGGCCTACTTAAGCTGTGTCGTTATTTTTAGCATTAGGGTCACATTACCGTGTAGCTGGCTATCGTAGTACCATCTTTTCTTCCTACGATTCGAGCCGACTGACTTGCTCGACCCTTCGCGACTCCCGTTGTTTCTAATGTTCAATTATTATTCCGAGTGGATGAAGGCGTTCTTCTCGTAAAAATTGTTGAGCCTAAACTTTAAAAAAAAAAAAAAAAATTATACTGCAGTCAAAAAAATTTATTTCACGATTTATTGGAATTTTTTATTTCTAGATTTCGCGTAAGAAGAGTGCACGATTTATTTGCGCGCAATAACGGATGAATGTGACAATGTTTGTTGCAGAGTTACCGAAAGATCGCACGGCAAGTTAGCACACCTGATAGCGCACCAGCTGGTCTTGGCAGTCCGCAGGCTGGTATAGGCGGCTTGCAGCAGCAACATCAACAGCAAACCCAATCTTTGCATCAACCAGATCCCATGCAGCAAACCAAGGACAATCTCAATCCCACGGCCAACCAGCAGACGGGCGCCTTGAGGAACGGCAATCCGCCACCACCTGTAGTATCCATGGTAGACTACACCTGTATATATAGTTGTAGACGTGTTCAAATGGTCGTACCATTATTAATATTTCTTTTTCTTTTTTTTTTTTTGCTACTTTTGTTTTGTTGCTTTTTTTTGCAATTAATACTAAATTTAGAGTCTACGATTGCGAAATTTCGCGTAATAATCCAATGAAAAAATAGGAAACACGCATGACAAATTCAATTCAGCGAAAATTCTGAACGCAAACGGTTGAGATTAATGTTAAATCGCTCACGCGATGTCCTGTTCTTCGGCTTACTTCTTCGAGTCACTTTTCTGAAGTGCTGTTTGTCAAGAGCCGATACCAAAAAGCTGTTGTATTGTTAAGCGTATAATCCTTGTCAAGTATGATCGATTGTTCTAAAAAAAAAGGTCAAAAAATAAAAGTGGAAAATTGAAGTTGAGTTCAACTATAAAAAGATTAATGTAAAAGTTATAAATATATAATATATAATATATAATATAATATATAAATTGTGCAAAAGAAAACTAGATTATTAACTAACAACATTCGGTTGTCGAGCAGCAAAGATTTACGTTGGAGATGATCGCATAATTGACCGAAAAGTTTGTAAATATTTCTTTTAATTATTACCAGCGTGTAGAACTTGCGTTTTTGCACGTTAGACCACTTCTTTCAGTCTCGTTTTCATTTCGATTAGTTTTATTATTCCACTCTGTAGGAGTAAATTGAATCGTACTAAAAGTACAGGACTTCGCGTGAGCGATTTTGCGTTAAACTCAGCCGCTTGCGTTCAGAATTTTCGCTGAATTAAATTTGTCATTCCGCATTTCTTATTTTTTTCGTTGAATTATTGCCTGTACGAAAGGAACTAGGTAACTTTTCATAAACGTGAAGTGACGTTTGCAACTGCAAAACTCGAGGGTGCAAAGGAATCGACTGCCGAAATAGCGGCGTAACATGGAGGGCAAGGGTAGACTACCGGCAGACAGTGAGTGCGGGGGCGGTGACCGGCCGCCAACGTGAATCAATACCCGCAGGAACAGGAACCACCGACCTACCGAGAGAGACGGAGAAAGCGAGAGAGATAGACGGGGAGAAAGAGAGAGAGAGAGAGAGAGAGAGGAGGGGGAGGGAGAGGATGAGAAGAGAAGGGAGAGGAGAACGACATGTCCCGGGGACGAAAGGAGAGAAAGAGAGAAGCGATGAAAAGCGAGCGGTATCAAGAGGTGGAGCAGAGGAGTAACGATAGAAGAAGCTGGCGAGGGTAGCCGCTTGAGCAAGGGTTAACGCCGAAGATGAGGCTATTCTTTGGCCATTCATTTGCACAAGTATATTCTTTCAGTGCGTATCGTCGAATTTCGATGACGATAACAGATATCGATGACAGTCTCGCCGTCCAAGTCTCGTTCGCGCGCATAATTGCGAGCGATATCGAAAGGTGGAACAAAGAAGTAACGAAAGAGCCGGCGTTTGAGCAAATGTGTAACGTTGGCGGTGGTCGTTATTCTTTCGTCATTCATCTATACAAATATACTCTTCAATGGGTAATTCGCCGAATTTCGATAACAGATACACCGATGACACTAACCGTCAAAATCCCGTACGCGTGCATAATTGCGCGCACTTGAAATAATTGCGAGCATCGGGAATTGCGAACGCGCCGGTCGATATATCAGCTCAATGAATTTTCACTCTATCATTTATTTATTTGCGCGCGCGACGCGTAAAGTCCTCCACGTGAGTGTTCTTTAATGAAATAAACAAATCGATACGAGAGAGTGATGTGTCGCGTCACTTCGCGTCGCGTCGGCGATATATTCGTAACCTTGCGATCGGAGCGCAGAGTGTTTTTTAATATCCGCTTTGTTAGTATCGCGCTCGATGCGTATCGTTTTTTTTTTTTCTTGCATTGACGTATGTATTTGACGTGTTACATAAAAAAAGAAAAGCTTTTCCGCGTTTGCCGGACTATTAAAATAACTCGGGCGATTATAAACTATTCTTAATTAATTTGTATTAAAGCTGCGCGAACAATCGATAAACGCGCTGCAATATTGACAATCGCAATCGCTCCGCTTAACAATGTACTTTTTCGCATCGTTTGCGTACAATTGTAAAATGCCATACAAATCCACTCGGCTATACATCTGTATCGTTAGCGTTATCGCAGCGGCTACCGATATCGCTTCCAGCTCTCTAAGCGCGACCAACTGGTTTATACGCTCGCAAAATCACACAACAGACGAAATATGATCGTTCGTATCGTTCCCATTCTCCGTCGCGCTTATAAACGCAGAGCGTTTTCATTGATGACCACGTCGGGCGTTAATTGTGCATTTCGCGCGTTAAACGCTATATCCCGGCGTAATGCAAACACGGTTGGTGTCGCGGGCGATACGATAATTGCTAATGCCGCGGTGATAAAGGAATTAACGTTACAGCGGCCGTATTCATCGGACCGCCCAATTATGCAATAAACCGAAACCGCGAAACGCCGGCGTTCACCGATCGTTGGCAGCGCGCAAATTGCGACTCGCGTCCCACCGGCCGCGGTACATGCGGCTTTTAAGCCGCGCGTGAAAACGTATAAAGAGCGTATCCTCGTGTAAGCTGGAAATTCTCCTCCCTCAAATGAGACAGAGAGACGCGCGAGTCAGAGACGTGTCGATTACGGCGCGCTGGTAAACGGTGCATTTGCGGTGGCGAGATCTCGAGAACGAGAGTAGGTGAAAAGTGGTCGAAGGTCGACAAACTCTCTCCCGGGTATTCGCCGGAAGGGCAACTTGGCTCCCGTGGGTTATGTTTGGGTGCTGTCACAGAACGTTCCGTTTTATCACGCCAGGGTCTTAGGTTGCCCTAGGTCACGATGCCATGAGAACGGAAGGATTTTCTCCCCGAGGGAGAGTACGCGGACGCGCGCGCAGACTATGTATGTGTGTGTGTGTGTGTGCGCGTGTGTACGTGAAGTGGAAGAGAAGGATGATACCGTGGAATCCCTGCCTCTTGCTTGGCGAGACGCCCAAGTCTTCGACGCTATCAACCTCGACCACAAACACCGATTCACGGCCACCTCTATGAGGGTTCTCAGAGTTTCTCTGCGCTTCAAGAGAAAGAGAGAGAGAGAGAGAGAGAGAAAGACGAATACGGGCAATCGAACATTTCGGCACAAGCTGTATGTTTCAACAGCCCGTAATGCGATAATGTATTAAATGTCTAACGGTCGAGGACCGACCACCGTGCACTTATATTTCCTTTTCCTTCTACGAATTATTATCAGTGCGTGATTTAAATTCTCCATCCGTCTAGGAATTCGTCTCAATCTATCAGCGCTCTTGCGTCACTTTACATTTGCATAATCACTCGACCGGATCGCTTGCTCGCATGGAAACTCGATAACCAAGTGATTTAGTAACCGGCGCAGCAGATTCAGCTTGTTTTGGCAATCTAGAAGCCTAAGCCGGATGCAGGAGTGCTGCCTGTAATATGAAATTCGAGCGTTCGCGTCATGCTTCTGTAAAATTTACTTCGTAAAATTGCAAGCGCGCGTTTTGAGAAGAACAACCGCTGCTGATGCGGATGACAAAAGACCGACCTCGCAGTATACATAAGCAGACGAACGAACCAATCGTCCTGCGACTCTCGCTTCTCGTTTTGTACAAAGTTTTACAGCCTGTGCGAGGTTGCCGGTTCTTCTCTTCTTCGCCTCGCATCGCTGCAGACGGTTCCTCTTCGTCTCGCTAGCCTCGATCCTTTTTTCCCCATTCGACCCCCATCTTCGTCGCTCCGTCTCACCAGACTGCCTTTCTCTTTCTATCTCGTTGACGGAGAACGCGGGACAGGGCGGTGGAGCGGCGGGAACGTGTAAGCGAACGAAAATAAACGAAAATGAACTCGCACAGCTCCATTTTTATCTATGCATCATTTCATTCTGAAATACTGTTGTTATTCTTGTTATTTATTGTATTACTTATATAAAATACTTGAAATTTATTTTTTTTTATTTTTTATTTTTTTTTTCAGACTACGACTCGTCTCTTGATTTTAGGTACTTGTTACTTTTTATTTTGGATACTTCATTTATTATTTGTTAAAACAAAACAAAACTTCGCAATTAAGCGAATTGAACGAAATTGAAATAAAATTCAATGTCGTTTTTATGCCCATTTCCATCAGTTTAGATTAATTTTAATCTCGGTTCAACTTACTCTTCATTTTTTTCTAGTTCTAAGAATTAGAAAAAGATGAAGAATAAGTTGAACCGAGATTAAAGTTAATCTACGTTGGTGAAACCGAACATTAATGTCTACTCTTTATAAATAGTCACCCGGAGTGATGCCATTCTACGGAGATTCCAGCGCCGGTTTCCGGCCCACAGCTGGTTTCGGAAATACAGTTTGGCATCAGGGAGTCGCACCGGTTGGCGCGGTCGCGGTCGAGACACCACCAGCGCCGTGGGCGCCTCAACAATTCATTCAACAGATCCCCGCGTCAAATCAACTTGAGGAATTGAGGTATCACACTCCGTACGGCGCCGCGGCATCTTATCCTCAGCCAGGTGAGCGCAAACGAAGTGATAAAATTTGAACGGACAATCGTTGTGTTTTACCTTGAAAGAAATAGTAAAAATAAATATATATAAATATAAATAAATATAAATATAGTTCTTTTGCACTTTTGCCGCATAAATTCGACGCTCTTCATTAAGAATTTTCGCTTTTTGTATCACATTGAGTGCTTATATCAATGTGTAAATTTAAACATTGCAGTCTCGTATCAGCAGCAGACATTCATAACGGCGGATCAGTCTGCGTTTCAACGAGCTGGCACGACGGGACAATACACCATCACGGGACAGCCCTCGCCGTTGACCCCTGTCGGAGGACAGACGGTGGTCTCGACGCCTAGGCAGTTGAATGGACAATTTGTGGACCCCGCGGCTACCGCAAATCAATCAGTTGCCTACGAAAGACAGGATTATGTGAACGGCTATCAACAACAAGTAAGAGTCTTTAATTAAATGAGCAGATTAGATTTCTATTTGTACGCATAAATTAATTTTTTTATTTATTTTTTCTCTTCTGCGTCAAATTTTGCTTAATTTATCAAAAATAATAAAATAATGTGGAATAATTTTAAAAAATTTTAAGACAATATATCGATTATATAAAAAAAAGTCACGTAGAGATGCAATAATAGTTATTCTATAAAATTGTATGAAACATTTGCAATAAACGGCATGTCGCAAATCGTCGGCTTTTTGCAGGACGTGACGATGGCACCGCCTCCGTCGACGACGCCGACAAGTCGCAGCAGTTCAGTGCACATGGATAGTCAGCAGCAACAGCAACAGCCATCGCAACAGCAGTCGCAGCAGCAACAGCAGCAGGCTACTGCGGATACGCAAGTGAAAGGATTCGCAACAATCGCCACCAATGTGTCGGGAAACGAGATGCCTGGGTATCCACTTCAACCGGACCCACAGAGTTTACACAACTCTAACGGGTATCCAGGCTACGTGGAAATGGGTCAGCAATCAGCGCAGAACCAATGGCAAATGGTTCCGCAGCAGCAACACCATCAACAAACGCAAATTCAGCGGCAGCAATCGGTGTTGGACAATAATCAATCACATATGTGGTCAGACACGAGTGGAAAGATGAACAGCAATGCTGTCAACAGTAACATGAATTGGCAAGAGGGAGCGATGCAGCAGCAGCAAAAATCCTCGCAGCAGCAGCAACAAAATATGCAGGGCAATATGAAGGTGGAACAAGGTACTCAAATGCAACAACAAGAACTACCGAGACCAGCAAGTCACATGAGCTGGGAGACCGGAAGCGTGAAAGAACCCCACACACCTCAGTCGTGGTCCGAGAACGCCGACAACCAGCAGCAACAAACTCAGGGAAACTGGTCACGACAGAGCCCCAAGCCGCAGAATTCACGGTTGACGCCATCCAGTCAGCAGCAGCAGTCGTCTCAACATCAGACCTGGCTGCAACATTCTCCGAAACTGGCGGACCATCAACACAACAGTGCTCAACAAAACGCGAGGATGACGCCTTCCGCTCAGCGTAGCTGGCAGCAGAATAGTCCGGAAATGCAAGGATCTCAGCAGAATCCGAGACTGACGCCTTCTGGCCAACAAATGCATCAACAACAACAGCAGCAGCAGCAGCAGCAGCAGCAGCAACAGCAGCAGCAGCAGCAGCAGCAGCAGCAGCAACAAACTCATCATCAGATGCAATCGCAACACGTTAGCAGCAACAACGGATCCGCCGCGGAATATTCAGCGGACGATCGAATGCGCGACGCGCAAAACAACGAGAAAGTCCAGGAGAAACATTTTATCAATCAATCAAATATTATGTCGTTGTCACAACCTAATGAAAATTTGACCGGTAATTTTTTATCGCATAGCCACCACCTTCGGGTAGATAATTTGCCCGACGGTGGTGGCTTATGGGAATGGACGGAGAGAGATCATAATCACAATAATAACGACAACAACAACAAAGATGACGGTAATCGTGCATTGCCGGAAAATGGAATGACGGCTCTGGAGAACTTCATGAAGTTTGCGACGGAGAACAAGAACACTGTTGATCAATCGTGTGATAAGGACAGTCAACGATCCTGGGAGGTGCCAGGGGAAATCCAGGAGAAAAGCAATGAGGATCGAAGCATCGATGACAAGTCTTTTCAGCAAAGACTATGCATGAATCAAGTGGAGGAAACATCTTTCGAAGAGTCTCAGAAAACATCCGACAGCGATGAAGTGAAAAGCGATAGTCTGGATTTCCTGAAGACGACGGGCGCCGCTGGTGTTCGAACGTCTTCTCAAGAAATCGACAAGTGCGACTCGAATCGCACGATCAAGCAGGAGGGCACCGAGGATTGCGCCGATATGTCCACTTGCAACATGTCCAACGTCATTGAGAGCGAAGAGAACCGAGAGAGTATTCCGGATTATAAATTTCGTGGCGATGGCGGTCCCGCGAAGGTGTCACCGGAGACCGGTTCGTGGTGCTGTCGAAGAGGCGGCACCGAGCAGCCGACTCTCGAACATCTAAGGGACGGCTGTTGTCAGGGTCTTCAAACTAAGGATGAAATGCTGGCCGATTCGCCGGAGAGAGCCGCCGAGCTGAAAAACGAAGGGCCGCACAGTCCGCGTACTCCGTCCACGGCGCCTACAACAACAAAATTGCAAGATCACTTGGACAAACTGAAGAACAATGTCAGGACCGAAGTGCCGGACTGCAACTGCTTCCCCGCCGACAAATGTGAGTTACAATTGCGTATTCTGTACCACACTAACATTGAAAGAACATGCCATTCATAAAATCACACGAGGGAAAGATTATAAACGTACTAACATTCAGGGTAATTTAGGAACATTTTGACACGTGGAAGATCTCGACACTTTTATAATTTAGCGATATTGTGAAAGCTGTATTCAGGTGACTGAAACTACAACTGTGTATGTCGAGAGTTAATATACATTTGTGGTGATCAATTGTGGAGCAAGTGAAAGTTATATCGGCTTCAATTTCAGCAGCCACAACTTTTAAAGATAAAGTGAGTAAATGAATTATATTGGAATTAGAACGTGTTATAATATGCCCAATGTTTGTAATAAGGAATGGATTGGATGTATTAACGTTTCAAAGTTTGAGTATATTTTGAAAGCTTTTATACATTTTGAAATTAGGGTGCATGCTGTGAAAATGTTATGATTTCTTAAACACATTTGTCTCCACACATAGTGTTGCCATCTCAGTTTATCTACTTGTAATTTTGGAAAATCTCGACAATTATAATTCGGGAGATCTCGACTTTATTTTATTTTAAGAATTATATTTTTTTTTTCAAAGAAGAATCACCATACTTTTAACGTTACACGGAATTTCTGAATCTTTTCAAATAAATGTCCAGATTTCTCTCAATTGTAATAAAAAAGAATCAATTCATATTACAAACGATTTTACTTCTATTGTCGGATTTATAATCGCTAATTTTTTATATACACTAGAATATTGCGCGCGCGTGTAGTATATAAGATTCTAAAAATTAATAAAATATACATTCTAGACTATTTTTTTGTTTAAAATGTAAATTTTCAAAGCATTGCAGTAAAGAAAATACAAATTCTAAAATGCTAGACTTACCAAATGTTATGATATAAGATAAGGCATAAAAATTAATAAAAGATACATTTTAACATCAATATATCTTTTATTCATGCTAAAATGTACATTTTATATACATTTTTATGCTTTAGAATTTTTTATGCTTTTTATATTATATCATTTGGCAGACCTAAAACTGCGATGTATTAAAATTTTACATTTTAAACAAAGAAATAGTTCTAGAATGTTAAAATGTAGCGCGCGCAATATTTTTCGTTCTAGTATTACAAAAGTCAGAGCATTTATTTCAATTTATTAACAAAACACTAATCAATTCGTATAAGATTATTATTCAATTTATTGTTTCGACGATTATTATTTTTATGTCAGCATGTTGAGATGTTCCTAAATTACCCTACTATGATCAATTACTACACCGATCAGCTATGCTTTCCGAAATCTGAAAAAGATTGCGTATTTTTTCAAGGGATTACCATATACGCGATACAAATACTTTCACTTCTGTTTCCATTGATTAATATGTCTACGACTTGTAAGTAAAATGACGTTCAATCGCAAGGTCCACCAGAGCCCGGCTCGTACTACACCCATCTCGGGGCAGCCGCGAGTCTGCCTGATCTCCGGAACGATCTCGAAAGAAGAACCGGCCTTAAGGGCGATGCAATAAGATTTGAGAAGGTCATCTATACCGGCAAGGAGGGCAAAACCACGCAAGGATGTCCAATGGCCAAGTGGGTAAGTCGTTCTCTTCAAACACATAAATATTTAAGATGACATTAATTTCTGGAAAAAAAAAAGTCGACAGCATATTTTTTTCATTGTGCAAAAGTGTGACATGAATCATTTATTAGATCATCCGGCGTTCCGGCATTGACGAGAAGATCTTAACCATTGTGAAGCATCGTCAGGGTCATAAATGTCCAACCGCCTGGATCGTTGTAGCCATGGTTGCTTGGGAGGGAGTGCCGACTCACGAGGCGGATCGAATCTACTCTCTCTTAAGTCACAAACTCAACCGATTCGGTCTTCCAACGACTCGACGATGCGGCACCAATGAACCGCGGACGTGCGCGTGCCAAGGACTCGATCCTGACACTTGCGGCGCCAGCTTTTCTTTCGGCTGCTCCTGGTCAATGTATTACAACGGCTGCAAGTATGCCAGAAGTAAAACCGTCCGAAAGTTTCGACTGTCCGTACGATCCGAGGTAAGCTATCTGAAAACAATTCGTGCGAATGCATATATGCAGAGCATCGGGATCACCGATTGTAGACTGTGACGAAAGAATTGTCTTCCAGGAACAAGAAGTCGAGGAAAGAATGCACGTTTTGGCAACACTTCTGTCACCTTTATATCTCAGCCTGGCGCCGGAGGCTTTCAATAATCAAACTCAATTCGAGCGGGAGGCGAGCGAATGTCGTTTGGGATTTAAGCCAGGCCGGCCCTTTTCCGGCGTTACGGCTTGCATTGATTTCTGTGCGCACTCTCATCGGGACCTGCACAACATGAATAACGGATGTACTGTGGTATGTAAGTTTTAAACTTGACATCACGGTGCAACTTTATTATATAATGCCGTTCCCGCAACGATCACGAGAAAGAGAAGCTGATTACTTAACTAATATTACATTTTGAATATTTAAACTTGTAACACGCGTCGTTACATTCTTAGGTAGTTAGCCTGACAAAACATCGAACACTATCGAAACCTGAAGACGAACAGCTACACGTGCTACCTCTTTACATAATGGACGACACGGACGAGTTTGGTTCCAAGGAAGGACAAGAGAAGAAGATTCGCTCTGGTGCTCTTGACATTTTGTCCAAGTACGTGTTTCTCGAATATCGTGAAATAATCTACAAATTAACTACAGTAATTATTAATTATTATAATTTAATGAAACATTCGATACATTTATAGCTCTACAATTCTACCTTTCATTCAGATATCCGTGCGAGGTCCGAGTACGATCAGTTCCACTCCAGCCATGCAGACGCCACGGTAAGAAAAGGAAAGAGGATGAGCCTGACATCACGAACAAGAAGGACGCGGCGGCCAAGGCGGCGATGGCGGAGAAAATGGGAGATGCCGGCCGTTCGCCGGGACACACGGACTCTTCCAGACAACTGTCACTCGAAATGACGCCTATGTTTGAAGGAATGGACGCCCAGCTGCAGAGCTCTCAGGTATCATCCACGGTCTTAGACAGTCCGGTGTCAATCTATCAAGGTTGGGGGTATCAAGGTGAACAACAATGGAGTCGAAATAGCTGGCTCGAGCAGCGGAAAGGGAACTGGTTGAACCCATGGGGAGAATATCCGTCGTTCGGTGGTTTAGAAAGAGACGTCAAAGTAGATCCGGACAGCACCAGTCTGGACGATATCAGACCCAGAAGTGCCATTTCTCAGGAGGAGCACAGACCTGGCTCAAGAAACCCACCAAACTCCACGGTGGATTCCACCAGAGGAAATTGTTACGGGAATTCGCCCAGAACTCATCCGGTCTCACCCCGTTCGCACACGAACGTGCTCGGAGAAGCGTCCTACGGCATGCCGTCCAGAGGATGCGTCTCGACGTTTCAGGATATGAAAGCGATGCCGTCGAAGGGATCTTTCGAGCATTCGAATGTGGAGAATAATTACAATCATCACATGGTTCCCGGGGCTTATCCCGCGCCTGACAACAGGCAAAACAATTGTTCTCCGAGAATCGGTTCTCTCAATCACGCGCACGGCATGGAGGCCGCGCATCGAAACACTCCATCCAGGATGAATCCGTCGCCGGTCGCTCATCACGTACGTAATACGGGACAAGATTACATTGCCAATCAGCTGGCATCGCCGTCTTCTAGGTACACGGGAGATTCTAGTCATCAGAAATACTCAGGCACCATGACACAAAATTACGCAAACGTCGAAAATTGCGCGAAATTGCCGTTGTTGAAGCCACAGGTCGAACAAACGTTTTCGAATAGAATGCAGCATCCGTATCCGTCGCAACAAGTGCAATCATCGATGAATCCAGTCTACCAAAATCAGTATGGCGACGGAAACGCGGCGAATTTGTTATCTTGCATGGATAACAGCAATCATAGTAATCATAGTAATCATAAATCAATGGAGAATTCGAACTCGGACGTTTTGGTGCACAGCTCGTTGCACTTGCCGGCATTTGAGCAGCGAAACGACGCGCAACTGACGCTGAACGATCAGCGAAAATCTGCTTATCACACGCAAGGACAATCGGAATCGAAGTCTTTCATGGTCAATCATCCGTCGTCCCCGTCTTCCGATCAAGTTGCTTGCACGCGAAATTGGAATATGATGAACTCGTCGTATCCCAATCAAATGAGGAATCCGCAGCAATTGAACGATCAGCAGATGGGCGAAAAGAAGGTCTGGATCGGCAAACTATCGAGACCGGATCAAGCGAAAGCTGTTTCCTGGGAAACGCCTTCTGAACCGTCGCCATTTCGAGTGCCAAAAGGAAGACCGCCATCGCGAACGACATCCAATCAGAACCCGTCCGCAGCAGAGCCGAATGCTTATCCAAATCCTCTAGCCAGAACGTTTTTAAAGCCACCGGAATCCACAAAGCCGATTTTTGCAAACTCTCTAAACAACAATTCTGTCCAAAATGGATGTGTACCTAACAAGAATAATTGCACGGAAGATAAACTGCGAGAGGGATTCTACGACGGCAGGCAGGAGGTATCGAATTCCAATCCGAATTCTCTGGCGTGGGCCGAGGAGGTGAAACAGATGCAAGATTTCCATACCATGTCTGGTTTGAGTCACCATGCGTTTCCTCAATACGGATACCCAACTTATCCGGTATTCGAGAAACCGCCCTACGCAAACTCATGGGAAGGCTACAATTACGGTCATCATCAGTCGTATCAGACGCCGGAGTATCCTCAGCAACTGTACCAGCAGCCGAAGCGCGACGGTTGCTTTCACTCGTCCCAATATCCGTATCAGGGTCTGAATCCGAGTTATCAGGGTCTGAATTCCGGCTGGACGAGATGGGAGACGCCGCGGTGGGATATCTACGGACCGCCGCCACCCTACTTCCCGGTGCTGCCCGAGCCACCTCCGAAGGCGGAGCCGCTCGGCGAGGTAACGGACTACTCCGAGAACGAGGAGTGCTTCAAGGATCCGCAAATAGGCGGCGTCGCGATCGCTCTGGGCCACGGAAGCGTGCTCTTCGAATGCGCGAAGCACGAGATGCACGCCACCACCGCTCTGAAGAAGCCCAATCGTCTCAATCCGACCAGGATCAGCTTGGTGTTCTATCAACATCGCAATCTGAACCGACCCAGGCACGGTTGGGACGAGTGGGAGGAAAAGATGCGGCTGCGAAAACTGGGCGTCACGACATCAACCGCGAGCACGTCCTCGTCGACAGCTAATCCGTCGATGACCACCCCCTCTCCGACTGCCGCGACGAGTCCCGGTAGTACCACAAGCGAAAAGACGACGCCACTTCCATCACTTCCGCACATTCCAAATGTTCCCAGCTCGCAGTTCATGATGCGATCGCCGACTTACACCACGATGACTTGGACAACGCTCTTCCCGATGCATCCGTGCATGATAACCGGCCCGTACCAAGAAGGCGGTGCGATTGGATGAGTCGAGATCGGACGGTACAGCTTCGATCGCCGATGACCGGAGCTTGTATCGAGAAATATCACTACTCCAGAAGTCTCCGGATCGACCGAAGGATCCGAGATGTGAGATCCCGAAGAAGAATCGCGTCTCCGATCGAGGATGAATGAAGGTAGCAACTTTACCACGAGAGGCTTTATATTGTTATTATCGTTATAGTTAGTTATTCCGAAAACGAGAAACACACACTTTGCACTGCCATTTTTCTATTCCGGGTTTTACGCAGGATTTAAACATAGTGACGAAAAACATGCTCGAGGGAAGCCTCGCCGAGTGTGAGTAGATCACCTTTCGTCGGGGCTCGCGTTTTATATTGACTTTTTACTGAGCTCAACTTGAAAGAGGCTCTCGCAATCAAGCGGAAAACTGCAAGAATCAAGATGATAGTAATGACCGAGGCTATTGACGTATCAGGAGAAGCGCTGATGCAAGGCTGCGCGTTTACGATGACTTTGATATGATAGATTTTCGTATTCTGATCCTGTACACTTTAAGTAATATCGCTACATTTCGTGTTGGTAGAATTGTAATCTTATTAGCTAGTCGAAGTCTAGACGATGAATCACACGCGATGTCACACGTATACACAGAGCACACATTAAGCGTATATGCACACTCCAAGGACATGCACAACCCAACCTAATCCAAAGGAAACTTGCACGATATGATCTCCGAATTATCGTAATTTCTTTTTAAACTTCGTAAAAAGAGAGTAGAGAAGGAATTAATTTAAAACGTATTTATTTTACAGCACCGTATATATAAAAGAATTCATTATCTAAATTGCTTATGACAAGAAAGAAATTTTTACGCAAAATATATTGTACAGAGTGGTCCACGGAACTGGATCGGATTCTACAACTTGATCTGTTGATAGAAAAAAAATGATAAAGACAAAAGTTAAATGACATAACATGAAAAATTTTTCACAAGTTATTTATTCACGCATGTAAGTAAAAAATAATGACAATAAAAATACAATCGGGTCCATCGGACCCGTCTGATAGACGGAGGCTTAAACGTAGTGATCATTTTGATGTATCATAAAATGTTTGTTATGTCACGGTGAAACATTTTCTATCTTCAACAGAACGAGAGCTAGAACCCAGCCCGCGGACCACTCTGTATAATATATTGAAATAATACAAAATGCGTTATTTTTTTAATATTAAAGTAGTGCTTTCGAATTTTAAGAGAAAAGTGCGGTTGATTTGAAAAAATTCCTTTTCGAAATCTGTCGAAGACAAAAGGAAGAGACGATAATTCTGAGAGCACCTTTTTACATTCGTTAGTTGAACGATTCTTCGCGAAAGTCCAAGCACAATCCTAATGATCCAAACGATAACACACGACAATGATCTCAAGTCTTTAAATTAATTAACGATATGTAATGTATATCTGATTTTTAGCCTTTGTACAAATATGTACGAAATCGCTTCTTATTCTCGTATTTATTTACGTGTTTGTACTTGTAGCTAAGTACTAAGTACGATTAATTCAAATGTGGCAAGCGATATAATACTAACCACGCGCCCTTCGGGTCGGCTGAGTACAAAGCATTTATCTAACAATCACGTGACGCGTAGGTAGGGGTGTGTCTATTGGTCGGCGATATGTATGCTGAGGGATATGCCAGGTGTTGTCTTCATCATCAGTTTGACGTTCTTCCTTTACTTCTTGTTCCCTCTCGTTTAACCCTTTTTACTCGAATCGACTATTAATTAATAGCTCCACTGCTCTATGCTGGCTTGCCATTTGTATTAAAAAGATCGTAATTTATAATATAATCAATCAATCGTAATATAATATAATCAAATTCATTAGGATGTAATCAGGATCAGGATGATTACAACCTTCGCAGCGAGCCAATTTTCGTGGAGTTCAAAGGGTTAATTATTTCCAATACGAACGATGACGTTTGCGTCTGATGTCTCATTAAGACGGAAGAAATTAAAGAAAAAAGAAATAGGTCGAAAGCCAATCGGCAAAAGGGATGCGAAAGGTATGGCAAAAGGTATTCGATCAATTCTTTTGAGATTCGACGCGTCATTATTGCATCAGCAGAAAAATTCCATCTGTGACTTTATCATTATCTTTTCTATTGTCCTCGATTTTATTTGTACATATTGTTTATTAGTCTGAGCCTGTTGCGCAAGGCTCGGACAACAAAGTCCTGCCAATGATCTTCGATATCCAGGACCAATCAGTAATAAGATCTAGCAGTGTGCCTGACTGCTTTCTCGATGAACTAGATGTCTATTGTCATTCGCGGAGTGTCCTTTAGAGAAAGTCTTCAGTGTTTTTTCTTATTCCATCCATTTTTCCGTTTCAAATTGTCGGGCACATTCTATATACTTTCATTACTTTGCTACATTAACTGTCGTAATGTCTTAACCAGAGACTCGGATCGATATGACATTTCGGTTCGGTTTATTATTCCAATATAATATAATATAATATTTGTCCCGGTTCCAGTTTCGGTTTTTTAATTGATAGAAAAAAACCGGAAAAGAAATTTACAATTTTATTTTATCAAAATAATCTTTTGCGAGAAAAATGGAGGCATGTGAAACCTTCATTAATACTCATTTTTTAATTTTTGTTTTATATCCGTTGCATGTGCAATAATTTTAGTAAAATTTAAGCAAATTAGTCAATCATCGTCGAATTTTTTCGAGAATCCACTGTAATTAGTCAATTTATTCCGGTTTTGGTATTATAAACTTTACGAAATTTCGATTCCAGTTTCGATTTGATCAAAACAAATGGTTACGGAATGGTTATTGGTTTCGGCCCAAGTCTCTGGTCTTAACACGAGTTCTTCTCGAATTATTCACGCTTCCTCTCTAATTATCATATTCATGCCTTCTGTATTTTCTGCGCCGTCGTTTGGGATTTGGCTTTTCTGAGGGGAGTGATGGACAGAAGGGTTCATCGTGTTCCTGGAATATCGCGTTCTTCCTCTCGGCCTTCCACAAGGAGCGATTGAGAGGCGCAAGAGAAAGTCTCCGTTTTATCGAGAATACCGCGTGGTTGAAAGGCTCCTCTGCTCTCTTCGATGGCACTGGGCTAGCTAAGCGCGAGAAGTTGATCCTGGAGCGCCGAGGATCAAAGGCTAGAACGGTGAATCTTCCCGCGGAAGTTTGCTTCCAGGTGAACCGTTGTTCTCCGCATTCGACGATAGCAGAATGGCACAGCGAGCAGGTATCCTGTCGCGGAGGACTAATCATGGGAAAGGTGTTTGAGGCACTGTAAATGGCAGGACGCAGGATCGGTAGTCGAGAAGGTCGATTAATTAATTTATTTCCGCCACGACGTCTATCTTCGAGTTTCGAAATGTGAACGTAATGCGAGACTTTTGAAGCGCAGAAATTGTGCGTTTCAGCTCTCGCGCGATGAGCGGTGAAAATTGCTTGACGGGCTTGATTTTGATTTCGGCTCGCGTTCACCACTCAGTCCTGCCCTTCCTTTTGCATTTGCGTCCGCAAATCGGTGATGAAAAAAGAAAAAAAACGAGTAGAAGTGAATAAAATTCAATGAGTAGAGAAAGTAGCAAAACGCGACCAAGCCTCGCCTACTCGAGTATTATAGGAATCATTAATATATTATCATTCATTAATTATCGCATGTCATAGTAATAGTGATAATAATAATAATAATAATAATAATATCGGCAACAGTAATAACTAGTAATATAATCTAATTTAATGTATTATTTATTAATTAAGTTTGATAACGTACCGTTATTCTATTTCTGGCAAGCTGGCGGCTCGACTTTTGATTAAGATTGTCTGACACTGCCTGTGCATCGGTCGATCGATATTTCTTATTAATGTAAAAATACAAATTTTACACTGGGCTGCATACACTGGCCAGTGGCCTAAATAACGCTAATACAAGTTTACATAAAATAATACTTAGCGTTGTGTATAATCGCGCAAAAATCGATATAACATACTAATTGCCGACTGATATTGCCGGAGAGCGACATTGTTTTTCGAGGCAACTGTTTATCAAAGGCACACTTCGTAAAGTGTAACAAATTTCGACGTTGCTTACAGGCAAAGGATTAAATTAATATACAAATATACACGTTAACAAAAGCATTTTTTATTTCGAGTTTTCAATTATTTTTTTCCTATTCACATTATGTATTTATTTTGCGATAAAATTTATTTCTAAAAAATATTTCTAAAAAAAAAAGGTAAGAGGGATCTTTACGCAATCGGACATCTACGGAGGAATATCGAATCCGGCGGACGCACAGGAGAGTCACGATACGTTTCATATCTCGAATTCGTACTAATTCTAATATCTATTCCAAAAATAGATGCTAATTCTCTGTTTAGCTAAGTACGCTACTACTTCTTCACGTGATACAGAAATGCTGTACGACGAGTACGGCAATATGGGACTATTTCAAACGCAACATTTATTTCTTTCGCTTCACACGCATATACACACGATTATGTGTGCGCACGCGCTATCATTGAGTTTCCCCCCCTTTTTTTTTTACTTTAGATAAGGCAGCTTTTATACATGGCAATGAGAGTACAATGTATAATAGAATATCATTGGCCCGACGGCTTTTTAAGGTATACAGCAAGATTATCTTCCTTCCTCGTATTCCGCAAAAGTGACAATACAATGACAAATGCGATAGCCACCGTATCGAGTTTCGATTAAATACGGGCGCACGTTGCCGCGAAAAACCTTCGGACGGGTGTCGCGACTTACGCAGCATCATCTATACTGTGAAAAATCTATTTGTCACAAATACATACAAATACAATGAAAAGGCTCATATAATAACTGTCAAATATAATATATAAGAGAGGCGTAGAGAGAGCCATCGCAGGTTGTTGAAGCGAAAATTTTACATATGGAAATTTATTTGTCTACATAGAGATATTAAATGTACACCGATCTCAGATCGAGATATTTAAAGTGTACAAAATTTAAGTACATTGATCTCATTTTGAGAGAATCAGAATGTACAAATTAAAGGAAATTATTTCAGGATAGAAGGAGGAACGAGAGAAAATTATTTGTTACAGCTGAGAGATATTTTTGGATCGCTTTCGCAGCAAATATTGTGAATCGCGGCTTGACGTCGCGACTACGTTAATTCACTTCGCAAATTAATTCGACATCTCGGAGGGATGAGAACATGAGTCTTTGCGACACCCGGCGCATTCTGCGTGCAACGCGAAGGGAAATCAAAATTCCATATCGGCTTCCGGAAATATACATTTTAGCCACGTAACGCGCCTTACACGCCGTTACACGATGTAACAATTACTTCCAGCTGTCTGCAAGTACGCAAAGTCGTTGTTCTTGCTGAAAATTTTTTATAAAGCGGAAACTCGGAATTACAGCTCGACGATGCCAAAATAGTATTAAAATAATTAGGAAAAAAAGTGTTTTGTAATAAACAATAATTGATGTGCGATCGAGAACGAGATAAACCATTCTATCCGGAATGCAGATTGATGCGCAACGATTATTCCGTCGCATAGTTATAATTCTTTGTCGCAATCGTGAAATATCAAATTCAAGCTACGCAATTGAATACGATCCCAGCCAGCAAAGTCTGTTCGAACAGATATTGCCAAACGTTTGCTACAAATTTTTGTCGGCAGAAAGACTGCAGATTGTATACAAAACCTGTTACATCAGATGATGATAGCAGAATGTCAGTAGAAATGTTACAAAACCTGCTGACATAATTTGATAGCAGATCAGTAGCAGAAACCGAGCAGGATTGCTCGGAATTATTACAGCAGATTGGCGGCAGAAACCGAGCAGGACCTGCGCAGCGCAGTTTGATGTCAGATTGGCGGCAGAAATCGAGCAGAACCTGCCGTCACAATTTAAATGGAATAGCGACATTTAAATGCTTCATTACAATTTTACATTTCTCATTTCGCTTATTAAAAGTAGTAAATGAGGTATGCAAAGTATGTAATATATATTTGCTTTATTGGAACAAAAAAAAATACTCGTTTTAATAAATTTATTAGGCCAAATCCCGAAATCACTGCGGGTCATCTCGCGGCGGATTTTCAATTTCAAAAATCAGTTTAATATTCGAAATCTCTTGTGGGGATTATATCAGATTATTATATTAAACTGATAAGCTTAATTAAGCCACACTTTATATGCACTCTAGATGAATCTTGAGTACGAGTTTATATATGAAGAAACACGTCGCATAGCGGCAAACAACATCAAATCGCACTGCGCAGATTTTGCTCGTTTTCTGCCGCCAATCTGCTGTCAACCTATGTCGACAGGTTCTGCCGGCAGAACACGAGCTTAATGCGGACACAGATGGCACCGTATCTGCTGCCAAGTTCTGAGCAAATCTGCTCGCAAACTGTCGTCAGGCTGCTAACATTTTGTTGACTGGGATAGAATGCTTGTGCAGAATTGTTTTGACAAATGCGCGATTTTCAAGGAGGGGAAATATATCGTTGCGTAGATATCTGTGTAAGGAAGGAAAATCTAAAATCTGATTATTAACAGAGGGATTAATTAGCGGGAAGGGCGAATGTTATGATGGAAGATAGAGCGACGGCGAGTTAAAAAAAAAAAAGAAATAAGCGTTGAAAAGTGTATTTTTTCTTCCAATGCCAAAAAGATGCCATTTTGTTTTATACAAAAAACCCTGTGAGAAAATCCAGAAAAAAAAGATGAACGGGCGAGTGAAGAAGAACGAACGAAAGAAGTGCGAAAAGAAATTTTTTAAGTAGTTTGTAGCATACGTATGGGTGTGTAATAATATAAAGTAACAAAACAGAAACGTCGATGTATATGTTCCGCGAGAGAGGAAGAGAGAGAGAGATGGATTTTACATGCCTTAACATCGTAATGTATTGATGAATCGAAAAACGAGCGAAACTGCATCGTCCTTCGATCGCGAGATAACGGAACGGAACGCGAAATAGGCGCCGTTCATCGAATGTCGCAGGAATCCAAAGGCCGCTTGCACCAATTGTTCGATTAACATTAACCCTGATCGACCAAACTTTATTTTACTCTTTATACAATCACAATAAATATTACATTAGCGATTTAAAAGGAAATAGTGATGCTTTCTCACGCGCACATATGTACGTACTGGTTTTGTTAAGCCGACTCGTTGGTGCAACTCGGCCTGCATCCACGGATATATATTGTAAAAATGTAGCGTTACATATACACCGACCGTAAATGTGTACATATATTTTTGGATAAAACCCTGAAGAAATTTTAAATCGAAATTCGGGCGGGGACGTGCGAGAACGTGATTGGCGAGAACCTGTTTTTCCTGTTGAATGAAAGCGAAAAGGAGAGAAAGAGTGAGAATGAGAGAGTGAAAGAGAGGGAGAGAAAGCAAAAATATAGTCCAGAGAGCTTTCACGCACGTCGCATCCCAATGTATTTATGAATATTTATTTACGCGAATATAGATACAAAAAATTTAATATATTGACAATTAAAGAAATGTTCGTAAGTTATGTAAGTGTAAGTTTTTTAAGAACCATAATTTGTAAAAGATCATTAAACTTTTGGCGTGCATCGACAATTCCTGCGCGATAGTTGCGGCACGAATCAGAGCAACAGAGATACATGAGACACCGAAAGAAATTGTAGAAGGCTCATTTTGAGCGAAGAAACATAGATGAAAGCAAGTTACAAGTTAATAAATACAAGGTAATAAATTTTGTTCAGGATGCCAGATGCATCCACTTAAGATTTGAGTATGCTTAGAGTATAGTAGTATGATACGTATAAGTAATAAAAATAAATGATTTTAGCTATTATCAACGTAAGAATTACATTTAGACAAAAATATATAATAAAAAATGTAAGTGTATAAAAAAGAAATGAAAAATACAAAAAACTTTTATGAGTACGACTGCTTTTATATTTGTTTTTATTTTATTTACGTAACAAGTTATAATCGATCGTTTTGCCCTTCTATGCGATCGGAAAAACTTGTCTCTCACCTGTTTCTCAAACCAATCATTCTATATATAGATAAAATACAAAAGGTTTTGAACGTACTATAAATATTTTTTCACTTCATATCAGGAATGCTAGCAAATTAAATCATACAGTGTCAAAAATAACATAAAATCTTAAATGTATGATCTGCGAATGTAGAAAAGTAATTGAATGTGTAGATAATTTTTTTAGATAACAGTATTGTCAATTATATCATGTGTGTTACTTTGAATAACTAATACTTGCTACTTTATCCCGTCCACCACTCTTTTCTACTTTCTATTATACCATTTTGTAACGCATAGATAAAAATGTACATACATTTAATCCTCTTTTGCAACTTGATATGTAAAGTGATTATAAACGTTAATCAAAACAATCACGACGGGTAAGTTTCGCTTCTACACATATTTCTATAATGACGCGATTATCGTAATTGTCGTGAATTTTTAGCTGTCTTAAATTTTTATCAAAATCAATGAAAACCTGAAATAATCCAAAAAATTTGGTTACATGTTAATTACACAATGTAATTATAACTGCACTTATTTTCATTTTTAGTTTATTCATCTCATAACTTTCTGTAATAAATAATAAATCGTTATACAATATTGCATCTAAGACATTATTTAACATACTTATTACAAAAATATCACGTATATGTTAAAAAGCTAAAATACAAGTAAATGACCTTATTATTACATTTCACTTTACACTATATGCTTATTTATTGATAAATTCATTTTTCCTTCGATTCAACGGATAATAAAGGCAATGGTTCTGCTTGCAAAATGTTGAGATTCTCACATCCGTTTTTTAATTCGAAAATAATGTGTCTAATGGCTGGTATCCAGGTACGACAAATGGTGGCATGCTGCATCATAAGAGCGATGTGAATTTTATCAGCCTGCTCGACATCTTTCCTTAGCAGTGCTAA